CGCCGCAGAGAGCACGGCCAGAGCCTTTCCCCTCACGGGCGATGTGTTACTAATTGTAACCGTGTTCTGACAGAAACGTACCCTCGTGTGTGGCTCTGCTGCCAGCAGGGCTCGTTGCGATGGTGTCGTGGCCTCGGGGTCACCATGCGGTGGTCCGCACCCTGCCTGGAGCCAGCAGTGCGCGTCGTCCCTGGGACACTGCGGCTCTTGTCACAGTCCGAGTCTAGTAGCAAAAGTCTTAATTATCCTCTAAAATCTGGGAGGCCTGAGACTGATGGGGAAGCTGAGAGACCAGCACCCTAGTTCTGTGGTGCCCGAATGGGGTTCTCCTCATTTAGTACTTTGTAATGCTTTAAAGCAGGCATTTTGCGTTAAAGCGGCTGTTTTCAGTGCAGGAATACAGCTGCTCAGGTGTCTGTGCTACGCATGGAGGTACTGATGCCAGTAAACCTCCTAATTATAATGGTAGAATGGTAAACCTGCTGGGTTTGGCTCTAAGAATTTTCTGTGTTGTGTAATCTGTCAGTTTTTTTTCATATCAGGTCCACTGTCCTCCTTTATTTTCCTTATCCTGATTCACTCAGTAATCTGTGTGGGCCATGTACTGCTTTTGCACTTTTTTTTTGTTTGTTTGCTTTATTTTTTTGAAAGCGGAGACAGTAATACTTAGCAATGTCCTAGGGACTTAATTGCTTCTAGAGGAATTGAAGTTGAAAATCACTATTACATACTGTTAAAAACAATGGTTAATTCCGTGCAAGCGTCTCCATTTTACTTACATTAAAGTGTTTAAAATTATTATTCTAGTTACAAATCTTTTTCCCAGTAAAGGATTCTTTTATCACTGAGAACCTTGAACTTGACTTAAAGTCAAGACAAGAGGCACTAAAGTTTTCTCTTGTTTTAAAACATTAGATTTCATGTTAAACAAGTATTTGTTGTATATGAATTTCTATTGTTTCAAACCAGATCAAGTACCTTTAGAAAGCAATGTTTGTTTAGGAGAAAAATAAATATGTTTTTAGTGTCTCCTGGATAAATGTTGTTCTTCTTTTTACTTTTAGAGTATGAAGCGGAACAGCCCCAATTTCCAGATGTTCCTGAATCAAAACATGGATCTGTGAGTATAGTTCAAGTTAAAAATCTGCATAGGGCTGGTTTTAAAAGATGTAAAATAACTAAATGGGAAAATTAGGTACCCGCAGAATAGACTCATTCATCAAATGAAAACAAAGCTACATTTTGCAAACAGCTTTTGTCAATCAACAAATGTAATATTACAAATCATTGCTTTTATTTAAAGCAACTTGGGTAGTGCAGGCCTAAAATTAGATTACCAGCTGTGTTTGGATTGTGCATCTCGCTGCCTCGCTGCACTGTCTGCTTTGTAGGCAGGACTGGGAAGTGTGCAGGGATCTCCTTTGGGGGGTGTTGCAAGCAGAACGAGTTCTGAAATACACAGGCAAGAGGAGCAACCACAGCAAAGGAGTTATGCCTTAGTTTCACATACGTGATAGATCATTTAGATATGGCCATTGAAATTAGTGGAATTAAACCTGATAAAAGTTGTTTAAAGTCTAATACTGACCAAATCAGTCTAGGAAGATTTTTTTTATTTTTATTTTTATTTTTTTTTTCAAACATAGAAACTTAAAAAGGACAAACCACTTTAAATCTTTGTCCCCAGCAGTTCTAGGAACAGCAAAATTAATATTTTGGGCATCACATACAGGCAGAACTTTAATTTAAATTAGGCATTTTGGTAGATGTTTTATCGTATTATTCTGTATTTAGGTTTCTTTGTTATTTTAAAACTATTTTAAACGTTATAGTTTAAACTGTCTGACAGTTGGTCTGTTTAGCCCTGTCCTGTTTCCCCAAATGAAACCAACTTCATTAAAGGCTGTTATTAAATTTGAACAGTGAACTCTGCTTGGGACATTAGTCAGGGCATAATAAAATTATATATTTGAGCATCAAAATGAAATAATATACCTTTTTATGTTGATGTACTTTTTAAAAATTTCCAAAAGGATAATTTGCAATGTCTAAAATATTTTTAAAATTGTGATATCTCAACCAGTTCTCTTAAAAACAAATACCTTCTGTTAGGTTTGGATGTTTTTATTGTGCTGGAAACTGAAGAATTTTTTAAAGTGTAATTATTTCCTTCAGAGTACTCAGAAAATACTGAAATCATTTAATATTTGAATTGGAAATTATAATTCCATATTTTTTTAACTGACCTCATGATTTTTCCTATGGAATTGGCTTCTGTATTTTTTTACAGTCTGACTGGGATATTTATATAGTTTACATTTATCTTGAACAGGTGTCTTTGGAAACAGGAATACTGCAGCCATCACATGTGGAACAATTTTATTCAGCTCCTGCAGCTGATACTGTTTTCCAACAATTTCTTCCCATACCCGAAGCAACCCCCTTTCCAGAACCACCTGATCCAAAAATGTGTGAGTAGGAGTATATTATCTTGAACCCTGCTGTGATTATTTGTCTTGTATTTGGCAAGGGTTTGTTATTTGTTGAATTTAAAGTGTTAATAGATACAACACCTTTTCTGAAGTGGAATTTGTATGATTAGTCCCCTGGTCTGTAAACAGGGAGCCCACTTGGAAGCAAGCTCACATGGTGCATTACAAATCAGTAGCATTGTGGAGCTGTTAAGGTAGTTCTCTTCTCTTCTGAGTAAGTGACTTTTTATTTAGCCACTTAAGTCAAACATTTCTTCCTCTAATTTAATAATGCAAAACTAGGATCGATTGACTAAGTAGACAATTGAGTTTGAAAACTACTTACAGAATATTATCTTTGCCCATATGATTACAAATTAGAATGGGAACAGCTCTAAAGTCTTGTTCTTCCATTTTTATAAATTTCTATATTTTACTACATTTACCAAGTAGAAATGTATTTTTATTATGCATGTTAGCCTTCCTTTGTGTCTTTTATTCTCTTCCATTCATTCTTACTCATTAGGAATTCCTGTTGCTAGTCAGAAGTAGTATTACTCTTGGCTTTTATGTGTATAGTGTCCTTCCAATTGTGATCATTTTCTGGCAGTATATGAACCAATTAAAGGTATAAAGCAGAGAATAAATTCAGTGTTTCAGCTGTGGTGCCAGAAGAGAACACTTCTATGACTTAATCTTTACTGACCACACCAAAACCTGAATACTTACTGAATAGCAGGCAGTCTGGCTTGAAATCAAGGATGGCAATTCCAACCCTGCTTGTCTAGGATCCTAACAGGTTTTGTTCTGTTCACCTTTCTGAGGGAAATGCTCTTACAGCTTCATACAGGGTCAGAACTTGAATTCCTCCACATGCATGTCTTCATCAAAATGGTTAGAAGGCTCCTTCACTTCACCCAGTTTATAATTTGATGGTGAAAGGTCCCATTAGGGAAGATGGAGATGTGGGGAGAAGCTGAGAAGGACACAGAGCTTGAGTCTCTGAGTTGAGCAAGCGTGTAGCCATTAGAGCAAGCCTAGAGCATGGGCAGCAGCGCTGCTGGTTTTTGGTGATACTGCCTGCAACTATTTTCTTCTGTATGGAACTCAGTGATGCCAGTGTGTGTGTGAGCACATGGGAGGTGTGGTAAGCAGACCTCATGTAAGGGCAGTGTAGTCAAACATAAGAGAGAGAGAGATACCAACACAGACAGCCCTATCAAGGTGGAAAAATTGGGAATATGGAGTCATGGTCAATTTCTGAAAGATCTGGCAAGCAGGAAGTAGTTATGACAAATCACAGCACCACTGAAATACTTCCCCCCCCCCCCCCCCCTCTAGAAATTCAGTTTTATGACCAATTCTGTTCCTGTAGGTTGTAAAGGGCATAAAGGTAGATACCAAAAGTGGTCTGGCTGTAACAGCACTGAGTTCAGTGCAGGCTACTTTACTTTTCTTTCTGTCAGGGTGAGTTAGTCCACATTGCTTTTAATTACCATGGCTAAGCTGCTTCTGCTGTCTGAGTTTACTCGTGTAAAACTGACATCTGTGAGGCACATTGTAGTCTGCAGTGTTGATGCACTTTAAGTTTGAAATTTACTCAAGTTTATGTTGCCTTAGCTGAGGAGAAGTGAAGACAGATCTGTGGCTGTATCAGAACTGAATTAATCTGTGTAGTTCAAGCTGTGATAGTATTCATAAAATGACTGATACTTAGTTTATGATATCTAATGTTTGTCTTTTTGTGAAATCTAAGTGCTTACCTGTAAGTGAAGGCTGTACTGTTTTGCTCAGGTTCTCCTCAAGAATACTTAGAGTATTATATATTTCCAGTACTCTTACCCGGAATGGCTGAACTTCTACATCAAGCAAAGAAGGAAAAGTGCTTTGAGGTTAGTTTTTAGGTTTCAGTTCGAATCATTGTCGGGAAGTTACAGCCTTTTATTTCACAGGCAATATTTCTTCATTTTGTCTTTTGCAAGAAAACCAGCTACAATAAAATGAAATAACATATCATGAGTTGTTTTGGATCTGGTCTTGAATGTTGTTTTCTCCAATAATTCAGACAGATTGCATACTACACACACTTGATCATTATGACAATCTCTAACTCACAACAAATCCTCTTTAAATATCCAGTTGTATCTAGCCTAAAGTGTTGTATTTTAGAGAAACAGGCTTCCTTTCAGATTAATACACATCACTCATTTGAGGGTGCTGTAGAGAACTTGAATTTTACTTCATTACTCAGTGCTGGTCTGGCATCCCAATAGAGGTACATTTTGTATTTTAGCTTGTTAACATTCTGTGTAAATTCCATTTAATTAGAAAGCAGAGTATTCAGCATTAATGAGTTTATAAAAAATGTGCATTTTAAAAATCATTGTTTGCTGCATATATTTTAAAAATTTGGTTTCAGTGTCTGTGTGCATAAGCACATCTAGAGAGACATTCCTCACTGTATGCAGGGAATGCTTAAAAAAGCATTAGAACTGGTGCAAAATAAAGCCCATTGTATCACCATAGCCGAACTCACGCACACCCAGTAAGGTACTGGGAGTTGTGAGGTCTTCCATCATTTCTGCTATTTTCTCCAACCATGGAAGTAATTTTTTATTTTTCTTTCCTAATTTCTGCCTGTCATCCCCAATTTCCAATGTAAAACTTCTCTATATTTTTATGCCTGCAGCTGAGCCTCCTTGTAATTGCAGATTCATAGTATAAAGAGCACTTAATATAAATTACAATGAAGATATCTCCCTTTTTCTACACATCTGAGTAATACAGTCCGTGCTCTTGGGGTTTTAGATGAGGTGAGGAGGACTTTGTGTTACTAGTGGGTTATTAATCATCTTAGGTATTGATCTACCTCCTCTCCAACTATTGACATTGACTTCCTATTACAGGCGTGTGTGTATACGACATGTGTATATATGGTAAAACAATATGAAACAATTTGTAAAAATTACATGTATGCTATTTGCCACTGACCTATACACCCCAAAAATACACAAAGCTTACCATGCTTGAATGGACACCCCAGGCTTGCATTTCAAATCCAAATCTGGACATTTAATAACAGTAAGTTATTCCAATTTTTGCTCAGTCTTCACAAGATAAACTGATTGATTTATGGATGTGTGTATATGTATTTATAATCTGTGATTAATACAGGTGAAATAGGATAATTGTTCATTTACATGTCATTATGGCATGACATCTTTGACATCCTTCCTTCCATCACGTTCACATTACCCAGCCAAGAACAGATTAAACATATATATTATTCATCACATTTTTAATGAAATCTATATTGATTAATATTTTTTTTAAAGCATATATCCTTTAACAGGAAAAAGGCATGTCTTACAGCTGGCTTAAAATACAGTCCTTGATAGATGTTACAAATTTCTGAAGGCAGTAAACCAGCACTTAATAAAAAAATGAGAATTCTTAGAAATATTTCAGTTTCAAACTCAGGACAAATCTTTGTCTATTTTTAATATGAGAAATTTTGCAGAGCTTCAGTGGTTTATAGATGAGAAAATACCTGTTCTGAAAATGGATTTTGTATGGGTCTGTGTGTTGCTTTATAGTAAACTAATAAAGCCAGTTATTTTCTATTGTATAGAAACTTCATAAAAATGAGCACATCTTATCAAAAAGACTCTTAAGAGATTCTGTTATATGCAGAGATGTCCTGCTATTGGGGATCTAAGTTTAGGAAAGCAAGCTTATACCAGATGATCATTTTCCATTGTGACATCATTTCTTCCTCCTTTTGAACAATAACTAGTAAAACAATAGTCCTTTATGCATGCCATATAACTGAATATTTGTGGTGTTTTCCATTTCTGCCCAGGTGCTTGTACTTGGACATTCTGTTTCCTTATCAGACTTAAATATGTCATTTCTAATTATACTTTAATTTCATAAGAAATGTGTTGTTCCATATGGATTTGTAGAAAAAAAAAAAGGTGCTATAATTTGTATTAAAATGGTTAATGCAATAACTGGAACTGATTTTTAGGATCAAAAACAGAGCCCTTAGAAACCCAGAGGAAGTTAGAGACAGGGAGAAGGGATCTTGTGATAAATTCACCACAAGATACCTTCAAAAAATAGGAGGAGAACAAAGAGTAGAAAGATTCATGGAATTCATGAGAGAACCAGAAAGGAACATGATTAATTGTGATTAAGCTAACTGCAGTAATGAAGGATGAGAACAGAATATTGGGTTTGATTTTTTGTCTAGACACGAGTCATTAAAGCCTGTAAAGGGCAGCTGTATAGAATAAACCAGTGGGAGATAAATGGAAGAAGCACTGGAAGAAAGGGAGGAATAATCAGATTGACTGGAGTCAGCACTGAATGAGCTTGGGAGAAGAGAGAGGGAATTGCGAGGGAGAATGAAGAGTGGCTTTTTGATGAGAGGGACTAAAAGTTTTCATGTTTTGAAGGGGAATGAAGAGGAGTTAGAAGAGAATGAAAAATTAATTAGGAGAGTTGTTTAGCAATTTAAATTGTGGTAATGGAGATCATGAGACCAACTGAGGAATTCAAGGAACAGATCAGAAAAGACCCATCCATATCTGGAATGGAAGAATTGTAGAATCAATTGTAAAGTCAGGAAAGGGAGATGGTTATGCTGAAAGTACTCGTTTGTGTAGGAGAGAAATCTGCAGGATCTTACTTGGAAGGTGATACAGAAACATAACAATTTAAACATTTCATTTAAAATAGGCTGTCTTGCATTATGGAGTGCATATGAAAAAGCTGAAAAGCAAAAATCTAGAAAAACCACCAGCTGCTAGATCTGTTTGCAGACTTCAAACTGAAATAAATATGTCAACAGTCTGCAGAAGCTTCATTTTTAAATTAGAGATGAAAGAAACCTATTGGGTTACTCAGTTACTCCCTTGCTGATTTATTTTTTTTCCCTTACCATAGATTCTCCTGTGCTTTATCCTATCTGCTGTCAAATGTCTCTAGGGGAAAGAGGATTTTCTTAAATCTCTTCTCTCAGGAGAACTGACTAATGCATTCAATTTTCAGCATTAAAACTGAACAATGTTTAAATGTTTTTATTAGCATAACTCTGATTTTTCTTTCTGGTTCGTGATCACAGAAAGTGGATGCTGTATCTGACTCTGTAATGGACAATGTTGCATTTAAAAGTATGATAGATCAGGGAAAGTGAATGGAAGCAGGTTTCCTAATGACTTTGCCATCTTCTGATCACCAGTATTTTTGCATGATTATTACTGAGCACATCATATTTAAACTGAAAAATGGAAAATGAATTCTGAATATAAATAGTTTATAAACACATCTGCAGGTTAACAATGCACATTGTGCAGATATTTCCTGTGTTTATCCTGATTCATGTAGCATAGGAGGAATGTGTCAAAGGCAGGTCAATTTATGTTATTTTTTCCCTTTTATAAATGTTGACTGCTGTGCAACTAATGATTTAATTCACTAGCAAAGTGAACTGTTTCCTGGCAAAAAAATAACAAAATAAAAAAATATTCAGCTTGACCAAATTCCTCCCTGATAAGTTCACTGGATCTAACAAGGATAAAGTAAGACGAATTTGATTCCTTTGGTGATGACTGTTTTGACAACATTGTTCTGATCATTTTTTCCTATTGCAAAGGAAAAGCAATTTACTTAAAACATATTAAATTACAACTGCGAGATTAAATTGAATTTTGTTGTCAAAGTATAGAATTTATTCTCTGAAACAATTCACTAAGTAATGGGACAGAATTTCATACTGTGATTGAGAACAGCTGTACAAAGATGATCCAGACTGCTATTTGTTTTCAGATTCTGTTCAAGTCAAAATTTGTCCATTTCACATCTAAAATAACCTGTAGAAAGCTCTCTGGTGAAGGCATTGGTCTCTTAAAGCTTAGGTGTTTGGCTTCTTGGAACAGTATCTGCTATTAGCATAAGTGTGAAAATTCCTTAAGGAGATGTGTTTCTTGGCAGCCAAGCACTCTAATGGAGCCCTACATGAACCCCAAAGCTTTTCTTGTCATGAAACAGATCATAAAGGTACATGGGGTTCAGGACTGATAATTGCTTGCAATGTTATCTTATAGAATCATAGAATGGTTTGGGTTGGAAGGGACCTTAAAGATCATCTAGTTCCAACCCCCCTGCCATCAGCAGGGACACCTTCCACTAGACCAGGTTGCTCAAAGCCTCATCCAGCCTGGCCTTCAACACTTCCAGGGAGGAGCAGCCACAGCTTCTCTGGGCAACCTGTTCCAGTGTCTCACCACCCTCACAGTGAAGAACTTCTTCCTAATATCTAATCTAAATCTGCCCTCTCTCAGCTTAAAGCCATTTCCCCTTGTTCTGTCACTAACTGCCCTTATGAAAAGTCCCTCCCCAGCTTTCTTGTGGGCCCCTTCAGGTACTGGAAGGCCACTGTAAGATCTCCCTTGATCCTTCTCTTCTCCAGGCTGAACAGCCCCAATTCTTTCAGCCTGTCCTCACAGGAGAGGTGCTCCAGCCCTCGGATCATCAGCTCTCAGATCATCTTCTTCTGTTCTTTTGCTTTTTTTTAATAATAAATTATCTTTCTTTTCTGTGGGAGTCAGACTGTGTGTTTACCAAGGATAAGATTCACTTAGAAAAGTAAAAGCTTTCCTGGGTATCATCTAGGAATTTTTCGTGCAGTCTAGCCCTAAACCTCCCATTTGTCTTCCCCTCACGACATGCCTACCCTGTATTCTTCACTGTGCAGTCAGCACCTCACATACACTGACCCTCAAATCCTGCCATGATCTACCCCCAGTTATGCCATGTAGCACACCTTTTTCTGCCTCTCTGTTCACCTCCCCTGGTCTTTTTTGCATCATATTATTGTAGCACAGGGAGAAACACAGGTGGTGAGGATAGTGCCTAAAGTCATTCATCATGCAGTAAATTTCAAATTATGTATTTATTGTATTTTTCTTAGCAAGTGGTCGTAGCACCTTCATTTCTTGCATTGTAATCAAGACTCCAGCCTCTTTCAGGACATTTAGCAGTTTCACAGATGTGTTTGACCAGTGTGAATTGTTTTCTTAAAAAGTAATAATTGCAGTTAAATCTCCCATTTGACAGGGTAAGTATTACCTTCAGGATGGGAGCTAGGCTTTCTCTTAGCTAAATGGCTGCTGTTTTGACAAAGCACACAGTGTCTCTGTTCTGCAAGGGCTTAATTGTTCGCTTTCTGGCTGTGTACATCCATAACACATCTCATGTAAGAGGGCTTCAGAAAAAGCCAAGCTTTTCTGTTATTCCAGCCAGAAGGTAACATTATATTCTCCACATTATGGTTACTCTGGTTTGTGATAAGCACCTGTGCTCATTTATACATTCAATCTGTAAAGATGGAATGTGGAGAAGAAATCTTTAAGAAAAGGAAGGTCCTAATCAATTCTGTATTGATCAAAATTCATGCTTTGAATTTTGAACTCAAAATGCATTTTACAGCATGCAGTGCTGTCCAGCTAAACACGTCCTGGTTGCGTGAATCACTAAGGATAACCTGCTGCAAAGCATTTTGCAGAATTCTCTTTGATTGTGAAGTCTTCAATCTGGGAGCAAAAGGCACAAATGTTTTGCTGCAAAGCTCGAAGTTTTGAACTTTTTACCTGATTCTGTATAATGTCCATGGTACCTGTGGTTGTGGATATACATATGCCTTGTGGACTACCCAACAGATGATACTGATATACGAGCTCTGTTAATTTCTTTGCAATTAGATTGCCACTTACAAAGGACACCATTCAGGGATATTTGTTATAGCTATACTGCAGCAAATATCAAGAGAGTATGTGTAGAATTTTATCACTAAGTTTTTTACTTGACTTGATAGCATTCCACAAAATTTCTAAAATTTTGGCTGAGACACTGAATGTTGTCAGGAGCAATATTGAAGTAGACAGAGTAATGTACTGTATATTTTATTTAATAAAAGCAGTCAAAGCTTCTGTTCCTCTCCAGTAGTAAAAACATATGACCAATCCAAAGATAATAAATAATTTGAAACTATCTTCTGTCTTTAGAGAAAAAGAACCAAATTTATTGCCAGTGATTTCCTAACAGAGTGGTTATACAAGTAAGTTAATTGCGGCTTTTACTATTAATTATGCTCAATGATTCAAAAGCATTAATTTGCAAATATAATAGCTGACATTTAAATTAATATGAGTTGTTTTCTTTTTTTTTTTTTTTTGTTATCAGCAAGAACCCAAAGAGGAAAGATGAGTCATTCACTGAATTCTTTTCCATTCCTTTTGTTAAGGACTGGCTAAAGGACCAGTAAGTTATTGCAGTGCTCGGAGTAACCTTTTCTCCTTTTATTCTTTTTCCCCTGCTATTCCAAAAAACTAATAGAGCTTTGATGAATTGCAATTGTGCCCTCTAAATGCCCTTTACTACATGCAACAAAGAACTATGTCATGCTTTCTAACTTGGTAGCATATTAGTTACAAGGTATTTTGAACCAGAATTGTTCACAGAGTAATTAGTTTAGCATTCCTAAACATTTTAATTTTAGAGTGCAAGGTATTTGAATAGTCTGGTAGTATTGTGAGTATCTTTGTACTAAGGAGCAAAGCAGTGTTTTCAATGCTGCTTCCTCCTATGGAAATCTTTGAGGATATACAATCTAGAATTTCTTCCTCTAACTATAAGCAGCTGTTTTAAAAATACCTGTAACAATTCTTGGTGTCAGGATGCATTTCTGCATTTATGCAGACATTTATGACTGCATCTGAGAAATGAACACTTTTTTTGGCAGTGTCAATTGTATATTCCTCATTGTTCCTGTAGGACCAAGCTACACAGTAGATTTGAAAGAAATATTACTGTCCTTGAGACTGCATTTTGTTTTACAATGCAGCTGTTGTATGAGAAAAGAAGAAAAGTAAAGTAATAGTCCACAGTGAGAGAATGAGAAAATTGCAGATGTCAAGCTTTAAAGAAAATTTTCAATTTGAAAACTTAATTGGAGTCTAGGTTGGTAGTTGGTGAAAATGTAAAGATTAATATATTTGTAGATATGTTTACTTCATTACATTATGTAAGTGGAAATTGAGCTTTCTTGAACTCTTGTTGTGTGGAAAACTTAGAACCTTGAGTCACTGACCCAGCAAGAGGAAAGCTCCTTGACATTCACAGGTCTTTGGAGACAAGCTGGTGATTGTGCCATGAACAGGTAACTTTGACTGTCTTAGGGGATGGTCATGTGGTCAAAGTTGTGTAGGGAGTGTCTGCAGTAAGACATGAATGTCTTTGGAGAGTGACCCATTTCATCTCAACTCTGATACCTTCAGGTGCCTGCTGCTGCACCACACTGTCCAGCCACTGTTGTTCAAACCTCCCACTGGTGGGACACTTCTAACAGTTTCCTTCATCTTAAGGCAGTGAATTTTGTAGTTTGGAAACTGATTATGAACTGCAGTGAGATTGTCATACTCCTTTCTTAAGCATAACTGAAGAGCCATCGGTTAGTAAGGCAGTTTTGATACCACCAAATTGTCAGGGTGGATATTTGTAGCTAAGACAGCTTTACAAACATTTCTCTGGAAGTAAAGCTGACCTAAATGGTTCCCTGCTCTCTCCTGTTCTTCACCCCAGCCTGCTTGTGGGCAACCTAATATCATCCTGTCTGTTTGGTAGGATGCTTGGTTATTCTGATCAGGGACCTACTCTGAGTTAGAAATCTCTCTGCCAGAATGTGAGAGGAAGGTTTGTATGGCTATTTACCATATAGATAATTTCTCCAATCTAGTTCACCTGGCAGCCTGACAAACCTTTGTATTGGCACAAACAAAGGATTAAAATGAAGGGCTCAGGGCAAGGTGAAGAGAACAAATGAGCTGGTAAGATATAGAGGTGGTGGCAGAAACTGCTTAAGTCAGCTTTGCCAACAAGAGAAATACACTGTGGAATCACAGCCTGAATGACTCATAGCTTCTGTTAGTACTTGTGCTCTTAAATAATGTAGTGACAGCTCCACAAGGACACTGAAGTGTCAAAGTCCTACTTAAACTGATACACGCTTGATCTTAAATCCTCTAAACAAGTAGGCCTTTAAAATAATAATTAATGAAATTATTATTAAAAACTAACTTTTTGTGAACTTGTTTTAAAATTACAGATTTCTTAACAAATATTGCTTATTAAGTAAGCATTATTAGAGCAAAGTGAAAGACTGCAATATTAATTAAGAAAAAAATCAGAGGATTTAGTATTTTCGCCTTCTTGATATGTCATAAATAGTTTATTATTATATCTTTCCAGATATCACATTTAAAATGTAATTGACTCTGTGCTTTTTATTGTCATTTCCATTTTCATTTTTAAACGAGTTCTCATTTTTCAGCAGTATTTATGAATATGCAAGAGACAATATGCTAAAAACTGCTGGTCAAATTTTGGTGGGAAACACACTTACCCCAAATGCTTAGATGGTATAATAAAGAAAAAGAAGTAAAAAGTGTTGCTGCAGATTTAAGGGCTAAACTCTTATGCTGCTTTTTCAGTTACTTGTCTAAATTTGGAAGGCATTCTGAAAGGTCTTTTAAATAGGAATGCATTTCTATACTGTGTTAAAATAGGGTTTATCAGTGCAAATCAGCTTCATGCTCAAAAAAACCAACAGCAAAACAATACAAAACAAAATCCTGAGGGATACATTTTTGTTCTATCAGAGCTCCAGCTTTTTTTTAATATATTCCATACTTGAGTATGACTTTTTTGGCTCTCCTCCAGTGCCTCCAGTTTTCTTTGAAGCTCAATTTTTTTTTTAACAATAGTCAAAGCCACAGTCTTATGACCCTCACTTTCTCTGTGGTGTGTTTCTAAATGAGATCTTGCAGCCTACTTTTCCTTTATAAGGAGACCCAAATGCTGTATTAATTTACAGAATTTTAAAAGCAAACATTGTACCTTCAAAAGCTGGTTGCTGAAGGTGAAGGAGCTTGTAAAATTTGAATTTGTTTCCAGCTTTAGTATTTAGATTAATTGCTATGACAATGAAAGCATCAGTATAGTTATCTTCCACTAGGTTTTGTATATTACCAGTAGCACTGACAAAACATTATATCCCTTGGGAATCCTTGACTCCTGAAGCAGATTTCAAAAGCAATAGAAGGAGCAGCCTCAACGCTGACTGGTAATCTACATTTCACGTCCAGGAGAACACAGAACATTTCTGTTGACTTGAAGGACAGCTGTACCTTTCAGAGGACAGGCAATTGGAGTTTTAACAAGAAACTAACAGAAGTTTTTGGAAACCTGCTGAGATACATAATGATGTCCCTATTCCTACACTCAAGACTGCTGAGATAGCCAAGTAAAGTAAACAGAATTAGAGCCTTGAATGTTTTGTACTCCTGTAAATATGCTAATGAGCGACACAGTTGCCTTTTGTCAGCATTTCCAGTGGTGGTTCTGGTTGAATAGCAGTGGAGCTCAATCACAAGTAACCAAGCTGTATGTACTGAATCAGGGACAGGGAAAAAGAGTCATCTGTGTTTATGTACTTATGGCCCTTAAATTTTAATTTTCTGACATAGATAGCCCGAGCCTTTATTCTGAGTATCATGGGACTATCATTACCCAACCTTCTTTAGCATATTAATGAAAGAAATATGAAAAAAAGCCCCAAACAATAAAAAAATAGTTCCATTGCTCTGAAAAATATTGATATCATAAACATCTACTGTCACGTGAATTTCATAATAAGACAGTATAGTTCAAGTTCACCTTCAACCCTTACATTCGATGAAAGAGAATGGTATATGGAAATAGGTTAGGAATAAGCATAAGTATTTTCCTGGCTGTTGAAGATCAGTTTTGGTATGTATATTTTGCAGGGGCTACAGGAACTGGAGGTTCCTGTAATAAATAAAATATATTTTATTTATAATAAATAAAATATAGTTATTTTATAAATAAGCATTCTTTCACAAGAATTTATTTATCTGCATTTTCTCTTTTTCTATGTAGAGATATTTACTTGTTACTCAGTTCAAAAGGACACATTTCCTGGTTTAATCCATTAGTGTGTACCAAAACAAATGTGCAGGTACAGAAAAATAAACTTATCTTGGCTTTAATGAAATGAACAGCTAATATAAATATATATATATCTATAAATGATTACTAAATCTGAAGTAGTAGCTTTTGCCAAATAACTGTATATACACATATATACATTGATTTATTTTTTTTTCCTCCCTGCCCCCCAATATTTTAATTAGGTGAAGTCTGCTGGTCTCAGCTGCCTTTACAGTTGACTTCACTGTCAGTTCTCAGATGGCCAGTGGGGGTAATTTTGCATGGGTGACTGATTTCTTTCTTTCCGTAATGTGCCTCATTTCTACAGGCTTTGCTTTCTGCACACTGCTGTATTTCACTGGTTTGTCTCTAAACAAGCCATGTTTAGAGTATATTTGATTTGCAGTGTGTTTTTTCTTTCAGTTTCTTAATTTGAGCTTTACATTTTTTTGAGGGGAGTATGATGAGCAGCACATTTAATTGTAATAACAGAAAAGTCCAACACACGTGTCTGCCTGGATGTTGTTCTATGTGGATCCAAGGAAAGAACTGCCATTCCAGTAATGTGGCAGAATTCATGGTAACGAAGGAGAAATTTTTGACTCAAAAAACTACAACTGTGTGTTGGCAAATTGCACAAAGTTTCTGTATAAAATATTTTTATTGTGTAATGGCATTTTATGTGGTTGAAGTTTTATGGCTACAAATCCTGATGCAGTGTTGAAATTTGCCTTAATTTATGTAAAAATTGTCAAAATGGCAGTGAGAAAATTGAAAATATATTTGTGGTTTGTGTCACCTTTCCAATGCTGCTGTTAGAGCACCAAGTGGAGATTATTTTTGCTGCTGTTAGTTTTTAATGTTTACAGGACAGGAGGTCTGATCTGAAGTACACAAACATAGATGGAAATTTCCCTGTTGACACCAGTGGACTTTGGAATAGGTCTGTGTTTGGTTTCCTTCAGTCCAGGACCACAAACACTCTTACAGAATACATAAATATTGGTCCTACAAAAGAGAAAACTGAAGCAACACCTCGTGACTTGTAAAATACGTAGCAAGTATGCAAGCACAGAAGGAGGACTGAGTTTTATCATTAAAATGGATAAATCCTCCCCAAGTAGTAAGCATATTAAGAGGAAAGAAAGCCATTATAATTTTCAGACAGAACTTAAGACAAAAGATTCTTGCTCTGCTGTTGTTTTGGCATGTTCTCGCTGCTAGGACTGTGCTTCCTGTAGTTCTTCTCACATTCTTGTTGCCATTCACCTGTTCTGCCTCATTCTGTCCATTACATGACTCTGCCTGCCCACTTTCCAACCTTCTCATGTTAGTTCCACACTATCTTTTCTTTTTTAACATGTCTTGTCTGGTTCTGCCTCATTCTGTCCATTACATGACTCTACCTGCCCACTTTCCAACTTTCTCATGTTGCTTCCACACTTTTTCCACATTTCTTTTTACCATGTCTGATCTTCATTATAAAAAGGTAAATAAGTATATAAATAGTTTGTATGTGTTAACAGTTCTATGAATATTATCACTATGACCACTCTGATAATACTTCCGAATGTATTTTTTAGTTTTATTATGCTGTAATAATTTTCATCTGGGATTTTTTTTGTGTGTACGTAGGTTGTTTTTTTGTTTTGTTAGAATTATGACTGAGACAGAAATGAAAAAGGAAATTTAAAAGTGAAATTTTCTGTTTGTTCACAACCTAAAGCCTTTATATTTGAGGATATGCAAAATACAAAAGTGTATTCAAAAGACCAGCAAATCAGTGGAAGATGCAGAGAATGGAGGGGGGTAAAAATTTTGTGTTTTTTTTCTTCATTTAGCTATTGACAGTATCAAGGAGCTTTTATTTGGAGAAGGTGAAGGAGAGTTGAGACAGTTAGCAGGAGTCACACTTCAAAATGTCTCCTTGTTTGCTGTTCCTTTCTTCAGAAGATTGAATTTGTTTCTTCTCACATTCACAATACTTCAAAAATGTACCCTCCATGTAATGCACAAAAATGTTTTCTTATATATTATAAGGATTTTTTTCTCTAAATATTTTTATGTTATTCTAGTGCATTTAGATTTCTGCAAAAGGAAACCAGTATCTACTAATTTCTTTCTGACTGTTGAACTGGTTTTAAATACTAGGTCAGTTTAACCGGTACTTCAGTGTCTGATTGTTTATGAACAATCTTTTTCCTGTTTTTTGAGTAAACTGTCTTAATAGTATCTACAAGCAGAGATTTTTGAGACATTTATTTTGAATCAAAACAATATTTTTTTCATTGTTGCACACTTTTGCAACTCTGGATAAGCAAGTAAGAAGGACTTAATGAAGGCAGGTGCTGCTTAGTATTTCTAGATTCTCTGAGTAGGAATAAGGATTACTGAAAATATAAAAGAAAGCTACTTTGAAAAATTTCCAGAACATTTTGTTGTTGTTGTTGTTCAGCCCAGTATCTGAATTTTTGGAGTACTTTTCCAAACCAAAGACTTTCTCAGAATCCTTTTTTTTAAGAGTTACACAGATCACCATGGTCATTTACTTGCATGTCTTATATTTATCTCTATTCTTTGGTCTGTTCTTTTGTCTTTTAGATTATGAATTTTGCAGTGACTCTGTCATTGCCTGTGTTTATACATGAGATAACTATTCAAGAACAATACCCATCACAGTCAAATTAAAGGTGAAGCGGTTGTGGCTGTTTAATATGGCAGTGGCTGTGCTATTGAAACTTACAGGCCTCCAGAAGGCCTGATTCTTGTTACTAGGGTTGCTTCAATATTTCTAGAGACAAGCTTTCTAAAACCAGAGAGAAACCCTGATCATTCATTGACTGCACGTGGATATTCCACTGTCACCTGCAGGATATTCCTTCCGCCCCAGGCACCGATGCTCTCTGTAGCTTTGGTGGTTGTCTGTGACTGTTAGGGAACTGGTGTGAATAAAAAGAACAATTACAACGTCCTGAATTATACATAGTGAAAATTTTGCTTACTTGATTTTTTTCTTATATTTCCTTTTCAAGGAAGGAATCAGACGTATTTGTAGGACAGATTTGGAACTTAATGACAACTGGGGTTTCTGGACATTACTGTGTCTATATGCAGTACCCTATATCAGCACAACTATGAACCTCCATAGATTAGCTTGTCTGTTTTGGTGACAAGATAATGGAGGACCTTTTGTTCCCCCCTTCTTGAGAGTTCATAGAGAAACTCAGGTTTTGTCCATGTGGAAATCAGGTACACATCTTCAATAAGAACCTTTTTCAATACCTTACGCATTTATTTAATGCAAGTCTGGTTTATATCTTCTGGATGCCAAATTCCACCTGCATAATGTAATATAATTAATAAGTAACTCATGTAATCAGGATCTGCACAAGTTTGCTCAGAAAGCAAGAAACACATTTCTGGAATTTTACTTACCTCTGGTCAGTGTCTGCTTTATTCAGATCTAGTAAATACAATACTTAAGAAAAAAAATTTTACTGATGCTCTTTTACAGGTGCAACTTCTATTAAACAATATATCTGCTATATATCTCAAAATAGATATCAATATATTTAATGTGTGGGCTCTTAAGATTGTGCATAATCAAAGACTAAATAAGCAGAATATAGTTAGTGTACATTTTACTGTCAGTTTTAATCTTCACAGAATCACAGAATGTTGGGGATTGGAAGGGACCTTGAAAGATCACCTAGTCCAACCCCCCTGCCAGAGCAGGAACCTAAATGAGATCACAGGAACCTAAATGAGATCTTCTTGGAGGCATACAGCTGTCTTCTGCCACAAATGACATATTCCCTCTTTTCCTAGTTCACTGCTGAGAGGTGATTGCCTCTGCTCAGATTCTATTTTTATGTGACCTGAAGCCAATTGCCTATATTCTCTCAGGCAAAACTGGACCTGGCATGACTTCTGTTCTTTAAAGCGGCCCCGTTGAAATGATTGATATTTGCCTGTGACTGTCGTACTGAAAATTATGTCCTGTTCTTGCTTGATTTTCATGTTGGTTTCTCAGATTTAGTGTGGGATTATAAACTAGACATTCCTATAATGTGAAAGTGAAAGCAAATGAATGCTAGAGTCAGCCTTGCAGGCTAGCAGGAGAAATCTCAGTTTGTTCTTTAGAGATGTACTCATTCTTACAGAAAGTTCAATGTCTCTGATATAACTGCTGTAAAATATGTAGGTCTTCCTGTGATTTTCCCACTCTAAGTTTTGGTTTTCAAAAAGATCAAAAATAGAACAGAGGATGAAAGCCTATCAGCCAAACCAGCACAGTCCAACTTTGAATTTTTAGGTCTGATTATAAGAAGCTGTTAGCTCAGGGAGCCTTGCTTGTCCAGCATTTACAATTTCCCTTGAGCAGTAAAAATGCTAATTAATGTTCACAGAGCTAAAACTGTATTTTTGTCTTATTTCTACTCCTCCAAACAAACAGAGGTTTTCTTTCACATTAAAATAAATGTAGGCCAAAACGCAGCTGACACGATGATGAGACCAATTTAGCTGAGTACACAGACTAAAACGGTGTAGTCAGTATCGCATTAGATAATAGTTAAGATTGTGCTCCAAGTTGAATGCTCCTTCAGTGAAGACAAGCCCTGAGAGAAAGACATCAGAGAGCATAGGAAGCTTTCTGGGGCAGAGACTAATATGAATGAAGTTAAGTGAAAGGAAAATGTAAGCTCTCAAGCCTCTTAGCTTGAGCTGCAATATACTGTAAAATAAATTTCCAAAAGAAATGGCAGAATAATGTTTTAGCCAGAAAATGTAAGACTGCATAAATAGCTTGTTAATTAATGGTCTTTGCAGTATATGTGTCTTTTTAGTATAATTACTATAAATAATAGTCCTGCATGGGTTGCACGTGTCTGTAGATGATTGCTGCATCCAAATTCATGTTCTGTTCTTCCAAGTCAAAGCTGATTTCAATCCGTGTCCCATACAGGGAGAGCAGCTCTTAGCAGCCATTTTAACACTGTGCCAAGTCTGCAGTTTATAACTGGTATTTTCCTGAGTTGCAACATTATTGCCCTATCATTAGCTTTAAATTACATTTATTATAAATGAAACTGTATAAATGAATTTTTAACCTGCCCTTTCCATTGGATGCTTTCTGATCATGGTGTGTGAGAAATAAATCAACATCCATAGAAAATGGCTTTTGGGAAGCAAGATTTCATACAGTGATTTGAGTTTTTGGTGGTGGTGACCGAATTGTAATTATAGTTTAGAGTGTTTCCTATTAAAATTGATAGCAAGAGAATGACCAAACATGCTTTCAAATTATTGTCTATTTTGGCTGAAAATTGGTTTACTTTATTTAAGTGAAATCATAATGTAAATTAAGGTACTAAAATATATTTACATTCTGTTTATTTAATAATTGTTATAATCATTGATGACATAAGTCTTCCTTGTTGCATGCACAGTAAAACCTCCTCTGCTTTACCTACTTCTCTTGCCCCCTCCCACCGCCACCTCAAATCTTACCATAATAGTAGGAATTTTAAATCTGTGTAGAAGAATAAGAAAGGTTACTATGCTTGGGGTGCCATTTGTATATTATTGTTTTGAAGAAGAAATTATTGTAGCATACATAACAGAATGTATTTTTAAAGGAGATATTCTGTGCACAATAAGAAGCAATATTGGAGCAATACAGAAAGATACAATCTCTTGGAGCAATAAGAGATTGTATCTTTCAAGCTCCTGAACAACCTTTCTCATTTTTTATAAAATATACTGTTAGGGAAGGAAGTATTATAGACTGTATGTTTACAAAACATTATTTTTTTTTTAAGTCCTAGGCCACCAATTCCTCTGTCTCTCCTTCTATCAGAAGAGGAAGCAAGCATAGTAATTCAGTCCTTCTGGAGAGGTTATCGGGTAAGAGTGATCTATAATTATTTTGCTTGATGTTGAAAACCGTAGGACTGTGAAGGCCCCAGGGAAAATCCTTACATAAATTTTAAGTAGGGGATACTATAAATAGCTGCTGAGACCCCCATGGTTCACTGGCTTTGGATGTTGCTCTGCCTTATGCCTAGTGACTAAAATTTTTTCACAAGCATTTACGCTGATGTAATCTCTCTGTTTTCCTCAGCAACAGAAAATCCACAGAAATTAAATTATCAAAAGTACAAATAAGACTGAACAATTTTCATTTTTTTTAGTTGCTCTTTGGCTAGTTGCTAAAGGCTGAAGTATTATTTTGCTTCATGCAAGGATATGTGAGTGAGTATGGAGATGCACAAGGAAGATTGGTGAGGTCTGTTGAGGAATAAAAGCATACTGAAGCAAGGGAGAAAAAATTGAGACCAAGAATGAGACAGGAGATGTAGGAGAAGCATGAAGGCTGTTATTTAAGGAAAGGGAAAACAAAATGGCAAGTGGATGTTGCAAGCCATACTAGTAACACAATCCCCAAAAAAGGGAAAAGTAAAGCGCTTAAAATAAATACAAAGAAAATTGCTAATGCTGTTATTTTGGAGGGTGACAGCCATGTTAAGCCTAGAGTTTGAAATCAATTTTGAAGATCCTGAATAGGTTCTGTCAAAAATTTATTTGAAAGGCTCTAACACTTTAATATCTTGGGAAGAAATGGACTTGAAATTCAGATGTCTTTGCCTTTATCAAAATTTAAGCTTTGAAATAGCCTTCAGATATAGCAGTAATTTAATTGTGATGGACAGTGAGACATCTCTGTCACTATACCAGGTGTTCATTAAATAACAATCAGTATAAAATACTCTCTGTTAAGTTCTTCTTTACTACTTTTATAACAAGCATGAATATGTGAGTGGTTACTATAATGTGCCATGCAGCCAAAGATGACAAAATGCCTTGAAATTATCTTCTTGATTGATAAGCTTTTTGTGCCACTTTCTGCTTGTTTGTTGTCCTTTATTTTTCTTTTTTTAAACAGGGATGGCATTGACACTAACATTAATTAGCACTGACTATATCACTGCAGGCATCCTTAGAGTGGGTATTGCAAAGGCAGCCGTTATCCAGTAACAGTTAAAATTGTGGCTACTAGCAAAGGCTCAAACCCAAGAAGGTCACACGTATATTGGCTGTTCTTTACAGCAAGTGTAGATTCTAGCCAAGTGACTTGGGTAAGAGTGAACTCTCCTTCGAATTTGAAGAGTCTTTCATTGCTTCATGCATTGCTGCTCTGCAGGAGATACACATCAGTTGTTTGGACAAGACTCTTGAGGCTTTGATTATTTGCCTGGAGATTTTGCTGCCGAGTCACGGCTTTTTAATCAAATTGCACTCTGATTACAGAACAGAGACTGTGTTCTGAGAAATTGTCACAACTATGCTAAATTATAATCTATTAAGCATATTTGTAACATGTTGATAGTATTTTGTTAAGTTCCTGTTACCTTTTTTACTGCAGATGGCATATCTGTGTTCCTTGTTCTGTTCTTTCACTTTCTAAAAAATCAGTTTGTTCTGGGAGCTCATGTTCACTGCTTGGATTTCATGTTGGACTTTGGAGTATTTGAGTCTCTCTGGCTATGCCTTTCTCAGAGCCCTGTATTTTGCTATGTATTTCACTGTTTTATTTATCTAAGGCAAGTATAAAGAATCTACTTTACTTGCCTTTTATCTTTTAAGTGTTAGGAGTTGTCTTCATTTTCAGTATACAAAGATCACTGTGGCCCTGTCACAGGCCAAAACACAGGCCTTACATAGCTGCAGTTGTAAATGGACGCTTCATTTTTTCAAAAATTTTGTATTTAGACAGAGGTAGTAATTTCTCTACTTTCCTGCCTCTTTTCTGTTACTGTCATTTATGTCCCATAAGCGTTCCCTTAACCCTTTACTGTGTAGATAAATGGACTGCATGTCATAGGGGATTATGAGTTTTATAAAAGCATACATAAAAGTATAAAAGAAAAAAAGTCTCTTGCAAGCCTAAAGAAACTATCCAGTGTTTGGGATTATATTTTATTTTTTCAAATAGTATTTGATGGATTTAATAGGAAATGGTTTTGAATTTTTTGTACAGCTGAAAAGAAGATCACTAGTAACAGTAACTTTTTTAAAAATTATATTTCCATCAACCTAGTAAGAACTTCATATAACTTTTATAGAAGAAAATACAGAACTATATTAGTATAATGGGATATTATGAGAGGCCTAAGAGGTATCTGATGTCAAGTCACTGAGTAAAAGTCTTGCCTGTCTTTATTGATCATGTAACCTTGTATTGCATTTCTGCTCTGCCAGTGCACTACCTCAAATACTGCAAGTTATCTTCTCCTAAGTGGATTGAAAAGTGCTGTGGGAGTTCAGCTGCTGTCTATTGTACTTGTAGCTACACTACAAAAGAGAAATTCCTGGTGGAAAGAATACTTTTGATAAATACTTTATATTGCTTTCTTTAAGTTTTAGGGATTTTTTAGCTAGTGGAAAACTAAGTCCAGCTCTTTTTTTCTGTACATATCTCAGGAAAGTGGGAGAAAAACTTTGTGTTTCGGAGTAGAGTTCAAATCACAGAGAAAACTCATTACCATATCATGTAAGAATAAAATAAATATAAGAAATTTTCAGGAAAAACTAAGTAGTCAGCTTCCTGAAAGCAAAAATGGGTCCAGGAGAAGCCAAAATTATTGTTGCTTGTTTCTAACATGTTATTCAACTTCAGCCTGAATTACTAGGACATTAAGTAAGTCCTAAAAACATAATGATATTTTATATGCATAACATTTAGAAAAACAGAACCTGCATTTTTAATAATTCTACTATAATTTGAATATGACTCTGAGAGAATAATCACTTACCAATGTCTAAGCTAATACTAGTATGTCACCTTCCCACTGTTGTCAGAGGGACGGTATCTGTTCTGGATTTTTGCTCTCGAACGGGAGATAGGAATTGTGTGAATGCCGAGGTCGAGAGGCAACACACTGATCATTAATCAAATCCTGCTTAGAACAAGTTTAAGTAGCAGAGTGGTAAAAACTGTTGACACAAAGCTAGCTCTTTCCTATATTAGTAGGATCCAAATCAGTATAAAAGCAATAATAGAAGAATTCAACTTAAATCTTAAATGGAGTCGAGGCCTGTGACTATTGTAATTTTACTTGGAAGCAGAATTACGCCCTTCATAGGGATGACTGACTGACAAAGGCTAGATACCATGTAATGCATTCCAGTTTCTTTAAATAACAGATTAATGGCCCTCCTGTTTGTGAAAATTGTATGGCTGGGCTGTCAGTAAGCCTATTTGCAGCTGGTAGCAGGTGTGAATCAGTTTGCTGGAATAAATTTCCTGCTGTATGACCCTTCATGTTCCTCTTCTGCTCTATTATGTTGGTCAATGGGTTGGTTTTATAGTGTTGTGGGTTTCTAAAGGCACTAATACCCTTCAGCATAATGCTTTAAATTTTAATTAACTCCAAGAATAAGCTTCTTACTGCAATCACATTCTCAGGAGTCCTTGGTAGTAAAAACAATCTCCTAATTGACATATTTATGTTTTCAATGGGGTTTGTCAATTATGTGGTTTTTACTTCTGTGTAAGTTGAAAACTGTAAACCTCTGGGACTGTGCTTTTATATCAGGCCCTGGAAAAAAGATGGATGTTACATATTTTCCCAGCCACAGCCCCATGAAAAAAAATTGTCTCATTGTCTTGGGTAACATGGAGATATATAATTTTAGTTGCATTTTCTGTTTTCCCTTTCCCAGGTCCGCTGCTATAGTGAAATACAAGAGCTACGTCGGTGGCAAAAGCAGTTGAGAGAGGAGAATAACATTACTGAAAGAGTGAAAGAATTCTGGATGAAGCAGGAAGCCAAAGGTAGGTGAATTAAATTGTGTATTTTAATGATTTTGCTTTTTACATTAAGTGTTTAATTTTTATATTTGAAGTTGTATTAAAAAATAGGACACACAGTATGAATCACGAGTGAGAAGAGAAGGCAATGTCTGTTGGAAATGCCTGACTGTTTCTTTACAGTCACTACTTACTCTAAATTAGTTGCCTATATGGCTGAAAGTGGCAATTAAAAATACAGTACAGGGCCAAAGCTCAATAGTTTCAGGGACTATTACAATGTGCCAGCACAGTATGGCCTAGGGCAGGATTAGACCTCTACCAGCTACACAACATAGAAATACTGGTTTTTACCAGACAGGTTGTGGTACTGTTTTTCTGAACTGTGGGATTTCTATCTGGTAAATGTTCTACTGGCATTTTTCTGTAGTTATTTATAGCAGAAGTTGGCCTGTACAGTTCTAAAAAAAAAACAAACCCAAACAACCCAATATAATTGCCAAGGGAAATGAGGCCAGATTGCTTCAAGAACTGACCTTGTAATATGTTTCCTTTTTGCCCTGATTGTGGATAAGGCTTTACTGACAGGGCCAAAGTTATCATTCACTTACTCAGGCACAATGATGTAATTATGATTATTCACCCAGCCTTTTTGCCTCCTAATGCAGGAGAATTCACTCGCTCCTCAACCAGGCTATGTTTTGTCAGTCCCTGTGGGCTGGACTTAAATGTGATACACGTAGGGATGTGAAGTACATGCCAATAGATGGAGGTGAGAAGAGGTCGTTCAGCAATGTTGTTCATGTGTTGAAGAGAGGGACAATTCTGTTGTACCAGTCACCATTGTGAGGTCCTTCAGTCTGATGGCACTGTGGCAGGTGTGTTCTCAGATGGACCATCTTTGCCCTGAACTACACAAGAGCATTCAGGGTGCAGTTTCACACAGTCATGTAGTCAAGTGGATCAAAGTAGGAGCTTCCTCAAAAGGGTTGGTCCTACTCTGTAGCTCTTGCATCAGTTTTAGAGATTGTGTAACTGCACCATGGGTTTGGATCAGCGAGGATTTTTGGTGTGGGGCAGGTTGGTTTTCCACAGTGCTGTTTACCACACGGTTGCTGTATCTAACAAAAAGGAAAAAGTGAACTGGGGAAAGACAGGGATAATGACTTTCAGCAGCCTGCAGCTTGGTTAAATTGAGCAGAATATGAGTAACCTCTGGCTGAGGAAGTGGCAATCTATAGTGATTGGCAGGAGTTAAAAGACAGGGGCAAGTCATGGCTCTTCAGCTCAGTACACAAAAGCACATCTGTCAATGCCCTCATTCTGAGCCTTGTTTTTGTGGGACTTCACTGGGAAAGACTTACCTGTGAATCCCTGCAGGATGAGGGGGTTTAGAATCAGGTGTCTGTGAAAGCTTTTAAAATGCTGAGTCCTGGTCAGTTAGATGCCTACTATCCAGAAAAATCTACAACTCTGGATTTCAAGTGACAGAAAATTGCTGATGTGCAATCAGGAATTAGGCAGCTTCATCATAATGGGAGGCCTCTGTCCTCTGTGTTGCCTAATGACCTAGGCAGCTTTTCACTCAGCAATGAACACTTGTGAGTCACCATTTGGAGCTCTTTCTCTTTGCTGCCTCTATAGACCATGCTGTTGTTTTGTTGGTTCACCTTTAGGTGCCAAATTCTACACATTTAAAGTCTAAGCTGAGACATGGAATATTGTCCTGCTGTGTCTTCACTCAGATGTTTTTTTCTTTCCTTAGTCTCTGTGCAACATAACTGTTTTTTTTAATGAAATTGAGTTATTGTAGTCATGTACAGATATGAAATAGGGTATTCTGGAATTAAGTGTTTGACATCCTCCCAGTAGTCTTTATTTTAAAAAGTACAGTAAGAATGTCCATACATAAATAGTACTTATTAACATCACTGCTGTAGCAATCAGAGCTTGTTGTAAGTGATTAGAGCCTTGCAATTCTTCAATAACTCTAGTAATCAAATCTTTTGTGCCTATTGCTAGTTTTAAAACTGTCCTGCTTTTTAATAGATGATACAACTAAAACTTCCCTATGAAGCACTTTAATTATAAAATAGTCCACACACTGTAACCTGAAACACTGCAATTATTCTTTCCCTTTTGATTGTGCATCCATTCTATCATTAGTTACAAGTGGATCAGGCTAAAAGAATGGCATGAAAGTTCCACACATTTCCCTTTCTGCTTACAATCTTTTTTTTGAAATTTTTGCCTAAAGGTGAAAGGAGAAATCTGTTACTAGTAGTGATTGTTATCAAAATAGCTCGTTTTCAGTCTTCCTTATTTTGATGTTTTTACCTTCACACAAAATAAATGTAATAGGCACTTGCAGCTAATAACATTTTAAACAAATGCTAAGACTCTCTCTTCTGTGAAATCCTAGTACTTCCAGATAGGCTACTTTTTATAATACCAGCAAACACAAAGTTATATATTGGTAAGTTCTCCATGTTTTCAAGCTCTTCCACTGGTAAATCTTTGATTCCCAAAACTTCTTTTCTGTTATTGCCTATTTGTACTTGCTTATCTGTTGGACAGCATTAGTTTTTAGGGCATCTAGTCAGGGTAATGTTTGCAGTTATACTGTGTTAAGTTTGCTGTCAAGCTGTCTGCAGTGTATACTTAACACTAATTTTGCAATCAGAATTGGCTAAGTAGGTATTTCCACTGGCTGTTTTCTAATGAACACAGAGTTTGGTAATTATAGTTATAGTTATATACTGAAACCAGAAGACTCATGATTTTTTTGTTGTTGTTGTTGTCATAGCAGTTCGTTACAAGGGTCACTTAGATTTTTCCAAACATTTATTCATGTTTATACTGCAGTTTTAATCCACAAAAGGTCAGGTTTTATTTACCAACCCATGCAATTGCCTAAGGGATATTTTATAGCTGAAAAGAATTAATTCCAAGGAGCAAAAACATACATCACAACAGGGAAAAACTGCATTTATATGTGTGTATATATACGAGATGTTAGTATGCAGTAAGTGAAGTAGAATTCTTAGCTTTGTTAGCTTAGAGATAGGAGATTAAACAAAATAGTAACTAGTAACAGTTTACAAAAATGATGAAAAATAAAATCCCTGAGACATAAGTTGACTTGCAGCAGACCTGACTGATATGTAAAGAAAATTTTAGCAGAGCAACCAAGGTTTTCTTTAAGTGTTTGTGAGATTTTTTTTTCCCCAGTGTCTAAAAATTCTAAAATGGGCCAAAACTAATCCTGATATAATTCCATTAGTTTTAATGGAATTGTGCTAGGGTGTGGACTGTGTCATTTGGCGGTTGAACTGGTTAAAAAACTCCTGTCTCTGAAGAAATTGATTCTTTCCATAAACTCTATTCTTGTTGTTTTGGAGAGTAAAGTAGTGATAAGATTTCCTCTGCCAGTTGTTTCAAAAGGAAAAACAAATTTCCTTTTAATCACCCTCATAGAGCTTTCCTGCCATCAAATAATTTATTTTAGGACTCTAGGACACACAGCTGTTCCACCACTTCAAAGAAAGTTGCAAAACTGCCCCTTTTATTTTTTTTTTCTTAAACCAGTGCAAGTTTGTGTTGCTTATATCACATCAGCTTTCAATATTATCATATTGTGTCTGTAATTCCTTAACTGCACTCTGCTAAGTTAATTTAAGAGTATCCATACATAAAATAGCCCTGGGGCCCAGACAGATGGCGATTTGGAAACAGCTGTACTAGTCTGAGAAGTTACTGTCCAGGGGTTTTCATTATCAATCTCAGCTGTGATGCCATCATTAATTTTGTTAGTGCTCCAGCTGCTCTTATTTCTGTTATTATTATTCTGCTGTTTATTAATGTCATTAAACCCTATTTCATTGTAAAGTCAGCAAGGTTAGTTTAAACTGCTTTTACCAGTGATTCAGTCTAACCCAGCTGACTTTGTGCTGAAGTGGTTGTGAGCACTCATACAATAATGAATAGCATAACACAACTACTTATTAACCTTGTCTTTCTGTGTATTTGGTTTAACTGAATTAATTAGTTCAGTTAATTCAATTAATCCCCTTTCATTAAACCACCGAGCTCTTCACATCAAGCAGGACAAAGCATTTATTGTTACTAAAAACTCAGATGTCACAAAGAAAGCATTAAGATTCATGATCAAAAGAAAAAGAAGAAAAACATTTTGAAATATGTACAGCAATTTATTACAAAGTTAACCAAATTAAGAATAACAATGAAGTATCTCTTAAATTTCTATATGAGACTAACCCTGTTTATTAGATGCTGTAAACAGTGTTGAATCTAACTGTAGGGGATGAATGGTGAGCTGCCAAATAGCCTTTAGAAAATGCTGACTGGAGCAGTAATGTGATTCTATTGACACGACTAGAAAGATCAGCATACCTTCCCTGAAAATATCAGCCAAAGACTCGGTTAGTGTGAGCTAACAGTCAGATTCTGCTTCGTTGTGTCTTTCAGCGCAGTGCTATGCAGACATTATTTCATGGGTATGCTTTAGATGTATAATTTCATGAAAGTGTGTTCGTATAATCTTGACCAGTATGATATTTTAAAAGGATATTAAGAGGAAGTTAGAAATGTAAACTGCTTGTAATGAACAAATCCAAAGGCATTCTTAATTTATTTTTCTGATTTCAGAAAGTGTGTTAAAACATGTACATTATTATGGAAACAAATAGTGAAGTTTTAGTTTTCAGTAGAACATAACCAGAATGAAACACTTTTGGGGTTTTTTTCAAGTAGGGACCAAAAGTGTGATTGTTATGGGACGGGTAAGGTGATCCAACAACCGCCCCATTAAAAAGACAGTCGTGTCCTTCCTCAACCAAGGTTTCTGCCATCCTTTCCTTTTCTTGGCTTCAGCAATGATGGTTTCATGGTGAGTTGGTTCAGCTGGCAGATCTGACAAAGAACTGCTCTTCAGCTCTGTTCTGCTGCTCCTCGGGTTAGTTTTCTGCTGGATCAGCCTGATAAACTGACTTGCCCGGTAATGA